CAATAAGCTTCGAAAGTTTATAGAGCCATTAAAAATATTACCGAACCATTTTCTCAATTTTCGCGTCAATTTGAACCAAAAAAAGTCATTAAAGGGACCGGAAAGGCATGAAAAGCTATGGATTTTTGCCTCACACGTGTCGTTACAGGTTTGAAATGCTAAAAAGGGCTAAAAAGACAAGAAAACCCATATTACAGCACATTAAAAAATCCGCAAAATCGTAAAGGATTTTAATTTAATTCTTAAAAGTTAAAAACTTTTAAAATAATGACCAGCCGCCTACGTGCGCGACGCGTGTATTGGGATGAAGCCGTGGGCAGCAGTGGAAGGGAGGGAAAGCGGGGAAGGCCGGGGCACATCGACCCGACGAGGGGCGAGAGAGCATTGTTTGTGGGGAGAGAGAAGGGAGGTGGGCGAGAGAGGATGAGAGAGAGAGAGAAAGAGAGAAAGAGAGAGAAGCGGAAGCAAGAGACGAGAAAACTCGAAAAACTGCAATATTTGGCCAGTCGACCCACGGAATTTAGACTTTAAAGGGTCCTCTAGGGGGGGGGGATAGCAGAAAAAATTGGGAACCTGTATTTTTGATTAAATCTTTATATAAAAGGCAAAATAAGAAAAAATCGTCACATCTAAATTTGTCGAAAGTGGAAGCCAAATTTTGCCCGTTTTGAGATTTGGACAAGCAAGCTAGCAAAGAGCATTTAGGAATTAGGAGAGATATGAATCAGACAAACGAACCTCTATCTTAATTTTTTCAAAAATTCACTCACTCAAATTTTTCAAAACTTCACTCACTCAAATTCAAAAATTTGTATTTTAAATCCCGATTTACAATTTCGCCCTTAAACCAAAGACCAACACGAATTCCCAGAGGTCCTAGAAGCTATTTTCACTTCCAGCACGACGTCTTCAGGCCAATAGCGTTCCCGGCAGTTTCACGTCATTGCATGAGTCGCTGGCCGAGGCTCCCCGCTCTCTCCTCTTTCTCCTTCTCTCCCTCTCTTTTGCTCTTGTCTCTCCTCTTCTAGGTGCTCTCTAGCTCCTTTGGGGATGGCGCCACCCGGTTGGTCGATGAGTCACAACTACACCTGACAACAAATATTCGCTCTCTCGCTCTCTCTCCCACTCTCTCTCTCTCTCTCTCTCTCTCTCTCTCTCTCTTTCTCTCGTGAAAGGCTTGCGGAACTGAAGCATTTTCAGTGGGTCGAATGATCTTTGATCGACAGCAATAAAAATCACCAAAAGCCTGTATGATCTCTGCTAGCTGGCCCATGCTCTGGTGACGCGATCAAAGATAACAATGTAGGCAAAACGCTTTATTAATAAAAAATTACCCACTATACAGACTCAGATTTGTACTGAAAAACGGGAACACCCTGCATGCTCGAAGCGAAGACGCCCTGGACGTAGGCCTGAAAATAGTAAATATTCCTAAGCCTAAGCCTAAGCCCTAGCCATGCCTAAGCCTAATAATAATAATAATTTATTTCTGACACCAAGGTTCAACACATGAACAAACTTACAGGTGTAGGAATGTCAATAATGAAGGATAAATGAAGTGGGGGGTGACGAGGAGAGAGAAGAGAGGATGACTAGAAGATTAAGATAATACAGAATTGGACGGAATATAATTTAAGAGGCTGCGTTTAAAGGTCTTATGATTGCGACCAGTAATTGTATGACTTGGTAGCGAGTTCCATAGGGTAGATACACGGTTACTAAAAAAGGATTTGTGAATGGAAGTTTTTCCTTTGAGCAGGGGCCTAAGTTTATGGGACATTTAAGGCGGGCCTAACCTAAACCTAAGCCTAAGCCAAGCCTAAGCATAAGCGAAGCTCAAGCCCAAGCCAAGTCTAAGCCTAAGCCAAGCCTAAGCCTAATTCTAAGCCTAACTAAGCCTCAGCCAAAGCCAAGGCAAAGCTTAAGCCCAAGCCGAAACGTACCCCTGCTGCTGCGACATATTTATCAGCTTCTGCTTGCACTGACAAATCCATAATTCCGTCGGTGGCCTTTTCACATCTTGAGAACGGGATCTGCCCTCCCTGCCACATCTGGGAATTCGCGACTAAATTGAATGAATTATACCCGTAGCTCTAAAAATTTTGAGAGACGCATAGAAGCTTAATTTCGGCCTATTAATGCGGAAATATAAATTATTTAAATTCCAAGATTTCCATACCAACGTTCGTCATCGCGAAGTCGTGTTCTGGTCAATTTTGGCGGCCGTCGAACCGAGCACTCCGTAGCGAAGGATCTTTTTGGGCAGATCTACAACAATCAGTCGATAAAACTGGGTTTCCGGGTCCTTTAAAACATGTCGATGAACATCGGCCGTACCGGGCTCAGCAGCAACGGGGCGGCCAAGTCCGACAGCGTCACATTTTCCATCTTCGATCACGGCGGCCATCCACTAAACGAGAGAACTGAGGGCGAGAGAGAGAGGGAGAGAGTGAGAGAAAGATAGAGTGAGAGAGAGCGAGAAAGAGAGAGTGAGAAAGAGCGACAGAGAAAGAGAGAAAGAGAGAAAGAGTGAGAAACAAGAATATACCTTGGCCGTCCTGAACCCGCCGGTCACCACCATCCGCGTCTTCTGGAAGACCGGGCGAAGCTGGAATGACAAAGTGAATTTTCGCTATTAAAGCTTAGTGTCACGCTCCCCTTAAAACTAACCTGATCGGTAAACTCGAGAAAATAGGCTTCTCTGGCCTTGGTAGAGTCGCGGACGTGGGCGAAGACGAGCTTTTCGTATGTGCCTCCGGACATCTCGACGAAGTCGTACCCACGGTCCTGAAACGATGAGCATTTAGAAAGCTAGCTAGCAGAGAGCATTGAGGAACAAAGAGGAGGCTAGCAGAGGCCATTGGAGCAAACCTCATCACTCTAAACACCAACCTCTAACAATTGGCACATTGTTTTCGCATCCTCCATGCTCAACCCGCCCTCCTGGAATTCCACCGAGTTCATCTTCAGCCCGACGATAAATTGGGCTGAGGCGGGAATGCGCTTTCTGACAATGCGATTCAGAAATACAATTTCCTAGAAAATCAGGTACCGTATGGCGTCGTAGATCTCGAGCACGACTCGGACCCTATTTTCTGGAGTTCCACCATAAGAATCTGTTCGTTTGTTGGTGGTAGGGGACATGAATTGAGCCAAAAGGTAGCCGTGGGCTCCCATCAGCTCGATCCCGTCGAACCCTAAAGCATTGACATTTTAAAGGAACCTGGAAGTCACAGCTTTATACGGTTTACGGACAAAGCAGCTAAATCCAAAAAAAAACGAGAAAAACAAATTTTTTAGCTTTTTCAGACAATTTTATAGGATTTATTTTTTTTAGATTGTTGTCCCTCTTCCCCCCCCCAAAAAAATTTGCGGCTACGGTAACTCACCGGCTTTATAGGCTTCTACCGCTGCATATGCAAATCGCTCGACGACGTCGGTGCGAATTTCTTCTTCTGCAAAAAATTTCTCTCTCTCTCTCTAGCTCTCTTTCTCTCTTTCTCTCTTTCTCCCTCTCTCGCACTCTCTCCTACACACCTACCAGTGTACGGTATCGGTTTCCCAAAACTGAAATTCCTCCTCCTCCCCTCCAATTGCACGTCCGAGCAAGACCTTGGATGCAAATTCACATTCTCGGCCGTCTGCCTCCCTGCCTAAATTCTGCCCTAATACCGTAACTCTAAAAAACACCCACATGCGTCAATTGCGCCAAAGCTAGCGCTCCATCGGCCTTGCAATTCTTGGCAAATCTCCTTAGCAGCTCGTCTCTTTTCGGGCCCTCATTCTCCCGGGCGATGATCACGTTTCCGGCGGATTCGAGGTGTAGCTGAATAGCTAGATCAAAACCGTGTAAGAGCGTGACCCTAAGCCTAAGCCTAAGCACAAGCCTAAGCCCAAGCCTAAGCCTAAACCTAAGCCTTACCGGATCCACAGCAATATTCCCAGTCAACACGATGCCGAACCCTCCATTGCCCCACTTCTCGTACATCGTAAGCACGGTTTCTGAGGGCAGCCCATGCTCAGCCGGGGTGTCCGGGCAGAAGCTGCTCAACATCTCCGTCATGGCTGACTAAAAATTGGGTAATGATTAGCAGATGAAACTAATTATTAAAACCGACGAAACCATACCTTGAAAATTCGATTTCTGGCCGATTTTCCGGAATTGAACGACAAGGGCTGGGCTAGGATCGACACGTCCACATCTTCACAGGGAAGTCTCTCGGCCACCATCTTGGGATACGGTAATTTTGGCGTGAAACTGCAAAGAAAACTAGTCGATTTTGATAACCAATAATTTTCAGAGCGCAATGAAGGACTGTTCCAAAATGTCCTCGATTCCAGCGGTGGAAGCGCGTTATATATGCGGTCAAAATCATCAGCCGACAAAGATCATCGGTGCGTTGAAACGGAAGGGAGAGAGAGAGAGAGAGAGAGAGAGAGAGAGAGCGAGAGAGAGAACGAGAAAGCAGACAAACGTGGTGACCGACCGGGGCTGCACAGACTAGAAAGCCCCCCGAAAATCATCCTCAGCCTGGACCTGGGCCTTGCTGTATGCCCGAAAACTTCTTAAAGTAAAAAAGCATGGCTTTTCTAAATTTTTGCCCATAACTTTGGTCTAAGAACCTTTTTTCTTCCGGTTTGTCTCCATTTACTTTTTTCTGTATAGAATACCAGCTCGACCCCAAGATTCGCGTCTTTCGTGAGCCGTCTATACCCATTCGACGGATGGGTCGATTTTGACGCTTTCTAGCGCCTTTAGGCGTTTAGTTTGCGCAAGGAAGATCTCGAGCAACGGCTTACAACGGTATTTTTTTAATTTTATTTGGCCCCCGATCCCGGCCGGAAACTCAAAAAAGGAAGGAAGGTTTCGTTGTAGCGAAAAACTGCTTTGAAACTTTGCTTTATTGAGTAGTTTCCAATTTATCGACTGTTTTCGGGCCCCCGAGGACCGTCTATATTTTTGCGGAAGCGGCTAAGTGTTCTGAGGAGGGCAGCGATTATTGCATAGAGACGACTTAAGTAATTTTCAAGCGTTTTTGAGAAGATTGCCTGGAAGAGGCTTCTCCAGAAATAGGTAAATTTTAGCTGAATCCCTTCTCGCTGTGGGTCTACGGGTGTTTAAAGTATACCAAAACGTTCGTCTTGCTCTGGCGAGTATTTTGGTATACTTGACGGGTCTGTAGGACAAGAGCTAGCCGAGATACAGTAGGTCTGGCTCGGCTGGCTGATCGGTAGTTTAGCCGTTTTACCATACATTTTTACTGTATTTGTATTAAAGTTTAGAGTGCATTTTTTACAACCAATTTTGCATGAACGAATCGTTTATTCTGGATTGACCAGGTCGACCTGCTTCCAAATCTAATGACGGAAGACAGAGCGAGCGGGGCAAGCGCAGTAGGCGGCATCGGGTCCGGGCATGCCGTCGGCTCCGGGCTCTCCAGGCTGTCCGGGCTGTCCATCTTGGCCGGGCTGTCCATCGGGGCCAGCGGGTCCAGCGGGTCCATCTTGTCCATCGTTTCCGGGGGCTCCATCCTGTCCCTTGGGTCCAGCGGGTCCAGGGCGTCCGGGCTGTCCGGGGCGTCCAGGCTGTCCGGGGGTAGCGACGGTTCCGGGGCGCCCAGGCTGTCCAGGGCGTCCATCCTGTCCGGGCTGGCCGGGCTGTCCAGGCTCTCCGGGCTCTCCGCGAGCTCCAGGGTGCGAGTCTTGTCCCTTGGGTCCCATGGGTCCCTTGGGTCCGGGGTTTCCAGCGGGTCCGGGCTGCCCAGAGGGTCCAGGGGGTCCGGGGGGTCCCTCGGGGCAAGTGATGCATCCGCCGGGGATATCGTGGGTGGCAGCAAGGGAGATTCCAGGGGCGCCAGGGCGTCCATCGTCTCCGGGGAGTCCATCATCTCCACGAGGTCCAGGGGTACCGGGAGGTCCGGGAGGTCCAGCGGGGCATCCACGAGATTGGGGTCCGCAGTTGCAGGTCTCTGGGGCCTGACGCTTTCCACGGCGGATGCCGACGACGGATTGGAAGGTGGCACGGGGGGCAGGGACGGCGGCGGAGCCGACGACGGGCATTCCCATCATGCGCTCCCAGGTGTCGTCGGCCATCATCTGCAACAAGGGCGGGTTTTTCAAGCTAGGTAAGCTAAGTAGGCTAAGCCACAGTCTAGGCCTCAGCTAAGCAACGCACCTTAACCTCGAACATGTTCTTCTCGACGTCAGTCTGGAGGTCGTTGAGGTCGCGGACGATCATGCCGACCGAGACGAGAGACACTAGCACGACGGCTAGAGACGCGGCGGAGGCCACGCCGACAGCAAACGACATCTGCAAGGAGGACGGGTTGAAAACGGCACATAAAAGCAAGTAAGCAAAGTCGGTCAAAATTTCAAATAAGAGAGCAGCAGCTTTTCAGCATTTGCTGTAGATGCGTATGCCAAAGCAAAGCCTAAACTTAAGTCAAAACCTGTTCCTAGGCCTAACCCGAGCCAAAGCACAAGCCTAAGCCTAAGCCAAAGCTTAAGCCGAAGCCGAAGCCTAAGCCGAAGCCCAGGCCAAGCCTAAGCGCAAGCCTAAGCTCAAGCCTGAGCCCAAGCCTAAGTCTAAGTCCAAGCCGAAGCCTGAGCCTAAGCCCAAATCTATTCCTACAGTACCCAAAACCGCCCAAAAACTCACATTTGTTGTTGGAAGCGGAGAGTTGCTTGCCCTCCTCGGCCCCAGCCGTCCTTATATACTCGCCATCTCCAGTCGGGTGCCCAAGGAATCCCAATGCCATTCGAGTGATAAAAAAGCGAGCGGTGTCGGGATATCGGCCCGGGTCGGAAAAAGCGATATCCCATCCCTTTTTTGGGGCGCGCAGGGGGTCCGTTTTTGCCCCGGCAGCGCGGTTCGGCCGGCCGAAAAACGGAATGCTGCCCGGAGATTGACCTTGAGAGATGCGGGGGCGCGAACGTAAAAAGCTAGCTGGACGGCTGGCAGATATCGGGGGAAAAACAGGCTATCCGGGGTCCCGGCCCGACCGGGAAGTGGTAGTATAACGGGGGCTACAAAACTTGTACATTTGAAGCGTTCGCGGGATTGTGTGTTACAAGCCTAGCTTGGCAATACCTTAAATTGGCCTCCGGTGGCTTGGCGTAACATCGGCTTCGCTTAATTCATAGTTCTGAAACATCGATTTATCTGAAATCGAATTTTTTTCAAAATCAGCGATCGATAATACGGTATTTCGCAGGTCGCTATATTTAAAGCGCTATTTTATACATAGTAGGGTGCTGCATTCTGGCATCCCGTAGTGAAGGATTTTGGTAGTTTGAAATTTTATAGAATTGGCATATTTCTACAAAATTGTCATTTAAAATTTTCTAAGTCTAGTTAAAATAAGCCTTAATCTCTAACAATTAATTTAATTATTAACTGGTATGCCAGATTTTTTAAAGATATTCTAAAATAAAATTGTGTGGTTCACTGTCATTCTGCGTTAGATGATACAACTCGTCTCCATCCATTTATTGGCATAGGCGAAATGAGTGAACGGAGCACACAGTCTATATCACATCGTACCAAATATAGGGTCCATCAGTGACAAAACAGGGGAGGGGGTACACAAAAATCAGTTCAAGGCAAACGGCTTATTAAAACAAACAAAAAAAGATCATCTGGCCGTGCGTGAGTTCCGCTCATCGGCAAGGCATCAAGTGTTTTTTGGTGGGCCCAGAGAGCGCGAATTACTTCTCCGAGTAGACAAAAAAAAAGTATCGCATCAACGAATCGATTTTCTTAGTATTCAGATTATGGAACGTACGCTACGATACGCAACGACGACGGGGGATATCCGGTTAGTGCGCGCAACTGAGCAATTTAAAAGATCATCATCCCGGAGTTACCACAGTTTTCCTAGAGGCATAAATAGATACTTGTAACGCTCCGCAAAAAATCACACACACTTTTTTTGGGGTGGGGTTTATTTTTTCAGTGTTTTCGGGGTTTTTTCGATTTTTGCAAAGTCATGATGGGCAGAGGGGGTGCTGGTTCACTAGCGGGGGGCTAAATTCTCCTGGTTCCTATGAAATCCACGACGGTTTGATAACATTTTGCGACTTTTTTGACACAAAAAGTTTGGCAAAAATATTTAAATTTTCGAAAATTACGATTTTACGGGAAAATTTCCAACGTTTTTAGGTTTTTAGGGATCAAAAACTACCCAAAAACTATAAAAAATTATCTATTTTGGCTACGATAGGAAATCAGCTTCCCCCCGATAATGAACCAAAACCGGCCAAAAACTTAACGATGTGCGGCACCTAATAGAACTTTGTGAGGACCAATCAGTTAGGGCGAGAGGGAGGAATATAGAGGGGGATGAGCACACGAGTAATCAGGATCCGTTATGGAGAGAATTCACAGGGTTTGGAGGGGGTTTTGGTGGAAGGGGAGGGTAGTATCATAGATCTGGGTGGTCGTCATCCCATCTTGATCAGGTTGAGCATGTTCTCGGCGACGCGGCTGATGATGTGGCAAGCGCGGCGCGTCTGCTGATCCGTGGCGCGGGAGCGTAGTTCTGAAAAGGAGTTTAAAATTAAAAAAAACCTGCAAAAATTGGGCCAAAACCTTGAAAAATACAAGGCATTTATCAAAAAGGCGCTTTTCTTTTAGCAGGGGGCGGGGGGTAATTTATAGATTTTCAAATCAACGAGACGACACTGACATATAATAAATTTTATGGTGTTTTGATGGTTTTTGATTGCCGGGAAATTATAATAAGTTTTCAATTTACAATCATGACAATTTTTTCGTGAGAGTTCTGTCTAAAAACTTTCTAAAATTTACATGATACCAAAATCTGTGGTACCCCCCGCTAAACGACAAACTCCACGAAATTCCGCTAAAAATTGAAACCATACTTGTGAGCTCTCCAAGTAGCACCGTAAGTACTCCAGGGACATGAAGCGCCGTCTCCGGATCGTAGACACTGATCGCCGGAAGCACGAATTCCATGAATCTAAAAAATTCAATTTTAGCTCTACTAAAAACTCCAAAATACCTGAATTTCAAATCGGACTCCCGGTCGAGGTCCCGGGTGAGCTGCTGGAGAAGCGGGAGGAGGACAGCTTGTGAGAGCACGTTATCCTAAATTGATTTCTACACTTTCTCAAGAAAAATTCTTACATTTGAAAAGAACTCGTCCGGGTTGACCTGGTGCAGGACGTAGAGTAGGGCTTCTTCGTCGGCCAAATTGAGCGCCTAAAATCATGCAAATTTTCTAGAATAACTGAAAACAAAATACAGGCTATTATTTTTCAAAGCCCGATTGTTTCGTGAAATCAATTTTCGAAACCAGAATTTCGACAAAATTTTATATGTATTTCCGGCTCCCCGTGAGCTTTCCGATTGGTAGCCGGAGGGAAAATGCTGGAAATTGTGAGCAATCGTATTTTTTTGGAAATAACGTTTTGAAAAATGAATTTTTGAAAAGTGAGCTTGAGAAATGATTTTTTGAAATTGATTATAGAAATCGGGCACAAAATTTACTTTTTTAAACACAAAAACCCACATGTTCGAATGCAGCCGGAATATTTCCGGTCTGCAAAAGCGCATGGAGCTGCTGCACGATCAGCTGTCGCTCGGAGGGCACCGGCGCCGGGGTGGCCGATTCGACGGTGGCTTGTTGTAGGGTGCGTAGCTAAAAAAGCTTGAAATGGGAATCTTTCTAACAGAATACGAAAGGAAATGAAGAAAAGAACAAAATGCCTACCTGGCTCAGGTACTGCTCAATGCCTAGCCGGAAGTGCTCGTTCAACTGGACGAAAAGCTGCCCGCAAGTGCGCTCGATGGCCGGGACCAGGAGCTAAAAAAAGGGGATCAGAAGTCAAAAATTTTTCGCTCTACCTGCTGAATGGCCTCGCGCATCTTCTCGTGCACACGCTGATTGATCATTTCGGAGACGTGCTAAAAATAAAAAATGATAAAATTTTCAGCTAAATTAAAATAAACTTTAATTTAATTAAAGTAAAACTCACCTTGTTATTGGCCTGTATTTGAGTCTCAAGCGACAGCGAATTTTCGTTGAGCGAACTTCGCACCTAAAATTCGGAAATTTCAAGACAAAATTGAATTTTTCTTACCGTAGAAATCGTGTGGTCCCTCGTTTGCTGCACGCACTCGTTCACGTTGGCTATTAGACGCTCCTCGCGCAACGACATTTCCTCTTCTAAAAACCATACACTTAGATTAGACAGCTTCACTTACTAAATTGCTGCATCATTCTCAGCAACTCCTCGTTTCCGGTGGAATTGCGACGGAGCAGCTCGGCTTGTTCAGCACGGTCAGCCCTGAACAAGTCAAATACATAAAAATTGACGTTCTTGATCAATTTCAAACCGTTGCATAGATGCCAATTTTCTCTAACTACATATAAACACAAATAAAAAACTATCCGGAACAAAATTTCAATTTGTAAGCATTTTTCTCATCTTTTAACAAAAATCTTCCTCTTAAAATACAGCTAGATTTGGTGAAAAAACGATTTTTTTAGACAGACGCTGCTACAGAGCCAAAACCGCGTTAATTTGTAACATACCTCGCCACCAGCTTCTCCACCTTTGCGTTCAGCTCCTCCAGTTGGGAGCGCATCTCGGTGATGCCCTGCAGCGGGGCCGCTCCGGCGATTTGGAGCAGTCCACCCCCGTTTCCGGTTGAGGATGACGGGCCAGGGACCATGGCAAATCTGAAAATTCAACATTTTAATTGAAAAGCCGTATAACCTATAGCAAATCTGTCATTTAACTAAAAATTAAAAAAAACCTACTGTTCTTTCTGCTGCCCGACGTCAATCATATCAATTGTCGGCAAATATTGAGCCGTCCGCTCCACGGTGATGTCAAGCTAAATCGGGAAAAAGTTACTAAAATTTTTTTATATATCCCACCTGCACCAAATTTTTATAGTTGATGCCGCAGAGATGGAGGATCACTTTGTTGCCGTCATTATCGCCGTCGTCCTCGTCGTCAAACGTCGAGCCGCCATCATCTAAAAAGAGAAATATAAATTAAGACAAACGAATAAAGGCATCGTCAAAAACATACGATAGATAAATACATACCCTCTGTCTGCTCTCCAAAGGTGATCCCAAACGGCACGGCAGTTACGAGCGGATGGCAAAAGGCAATCTAAAGATCTTAATTCACAAAATTTAAAAATTTAAAAATACCTGTGTAACCGCAGAAAATTTGGGGTAAACCTGGCTGTAGTCTAGCTCAACGCAGAAGATGTTCTAAAACAAGACATAAAGCTCAAATTTCAGCCAAACCGCTCCATCCACGTCGACGATA